TTTTTTGCATTCTCGGAAAGCCACCTCGTGCCGAGCCCTGGACAGAATGTTGCATAATATATTTCTGCTTAGATAAATGAGAAAATAGAGATTCAAGATTGAATTCAGTGGATAATTTTTCAGATTGTGTACTAAGTCAAACCATAATTTTTTCATCAACTACTGTACCACATCGTTCATTACAGGGAAGCACGACAGGAATACCATTCAAAATATATGGTGGAAGCGTTAGACGAGTTTCACCGTTTTGCATCGGTGAAAGTGAATATCTCCGGCAACCGCATTGCCTGTATCTACTATGCTGTAAGCAAAACTCCATTGTTGTATCATTTCCAATTATACAGATTACAGACGCCACTCAAAATGGGAGATCGAATTCTCGTTTGGGATGCTGAGGCAGATTTGATAGCTTATTTCTCTTTTACGCTTGGCATGACCGATCAGCAACAATATGAAGCTGAGGCAGAATTGGCGAGTTCTCAAGGTCGGCCAGTGACAGCAGCAGCAAGGTATTATGGGAGAGTATTTCTTCCAGAGATTGGAAAATCTGCTTTCTAGGAAGATGGAGCGAGACCAGACGAGGTTTCGTTTGCCATTGCACGAACCAGCGTCAATATTTTGGGATGAGACGGATGACCGCTTCCTTGTTTGTCATGCTCAACCAACTTCCCAGCACGTGGTAAACCATTTTTCAAATTCTTTTCAGAACAAAAAGCCTCCAGTGGGTAATCTACAGGCATTCTTTTTTCCCCAAAAAACGGGTGTAGCTTAGATTTTTCCCAACCTAGCACTTCCTCCTTAGGTTCTTGGGAAGCTTTTCACGAACAAAAACTTACGATGGTACTCTCTTTGGTTGCAAATATTACAATCATTTTGTTTTAGCAAAGTAAGAAAAGCTAGATATCAGTGTATTTTATTCATGGGGGGAAAAATTCCTAACTCATTCTGAACAAGAAAGCGAGCACGAATAGTGAGCGGGGAAGGGGAAGGGAGCTAGGTGAAGGTGGGAATTTTCTATTTCCAGATCCGAAATCTTTTTAGGTTGATGACATGATCTTGACGATGTTCGTGACTTCTGATCA